ATAGCAGCAAGTTCATATGTTAATGTAACTCACAAGATAGTAAAAATATTCATTGAATGAGATTTAATCTATTGGTATGGAGCGCCTAAAAAGATAGTGATTAATAATGCTCAAAAATTCAATGGAAGAATGATAATAAAGCTTTGAGCAAAATAAAAAATCAAGCACTTGAGTTCATCTCTATACAAACCAAAGACGAACTATGTTGTAAAAGCTGCCAACAAGAATTTTTAGAAGATTATATAGAAGATGGTAATTACGTACAAGGACTGACATGAAATGCTTCTTTAAGCTTTGCATGGATATCACACCGTAATAAAAACATTTACAGGAGTTACACCTTATTCCTTGGTTTACGGGATGGAATAAGTAATGTTGCTAGAAGGAGAAATCTCATATCTAAGGGTATTGATGGAATCATATATGGAGGAAGCATGTTTTAGAGGTATAATATGCCATGTTTTGGGTTTGGCAGCTTAATCTTCATTTCTAGTTTTGCTGGGCAATATTCTTTATATTTTTGAAAAGAACATTATCTTGGTCCTATAATTTGAATTATTTTTTTGTTCAATTCTTTGCATAGAATTTTTTAGGCAACTTGATCAATTAATACTTTAGGGTTTATTTACATATGTTTTCAGTAGATTTTAATTTTAGGGTTTTGATTTTAAACCAAAATCCATTTTGACAATATTAGTGTTTATATATTGTAAAACTTTTGAGTCTGAATAAATATAAATGAGAATCAACTGATTTTTTTTTTAATTTCTGCACAGTTAAAATTGGTATATTTTGGAAATGTTATTATTTTAGGGTCGTTACAGGTCGTCTATGCATTCATGCACATTGCATGCCATGGAGGGTTCAGAAAGTCCATGGTCTATCTTTCCATAGAGGTCGCAAAAAAGCTTGATTGAAACACGATTTGGACTCAGTTTTTTTACTACTGTTTGCTTTCAACCTTTGGTTTTTAGACGTTTAAGAGCTTTTGCTTGATGGCTCTCTATTTTGTTTTATTTTTTTAGTTCAGGACTGATTTGCTTGATATTTTATCTATATATGGCAAAATGTTATGAACTCTATGTCCATCCTAGATGAGTGGAGTTGATCGATGATTGTAGGCTTGCAGTGGTAGGGTTGCATTGCTTTAGTTATCTGCTAACAACAGGTTAATCATCTTTTTTTCAAAACTACTACACAGCATCTCCCATATATATAAGCAATTTATGCATATGAAATTTCATGGAGTATCATTAACAGTGCCTTTATGGAAGATTTTACCAACATTTGTTAAGTTTAACAATGGAATTCGAATCTGAATCATATCCCTCCTCTCCACTTTGCACGAGAAAGAACCGCAGGAATGAAGAGCAGCATGCCAGTACTAGATAACAGTTATAAAGCAGCTATTGTCTTCGAAAAATACTCCATCTCCAAATTGCAGCTTCTCAAAGCATCTATGGTTATGGAAATGCTCTTGATATAAAATTGCAGGTTTCCTAAGTTCTCTCCTACCTCTTCAACTTTGTTCACTTTCTCAAACTAGCTTTTAAGCTGACAACTCCTCGCTCTATTTTTATTTTTTTATATTCTATATTGCTTTGCTATCCTAACTAGAAATCACTTCATAATTCATGCCCCGTGAAGTAGATGAATTGAACAGGAAAGAGAGAAGAAAATAAAAAAATTCCAAGGTTCTCTCCCTTGCATGGGCAGCGTGATTTTAAGGGTGGAAAGAGGAGAATTTTTCCACTAATTACAAGAATATCACTCATCATCAAAACCCAATTGGGATATTTATTTTTATTTTTTTTGGTATGTATTCCTTTTTTTTTTGTTTGGGATTATTAACAAATTTTCTTGGAAATTTTATTTCTAATCATAAAAATCTATCCTTAATTTATTGTTTTTAATTGAAAATTCTGCTATTAAAACACTAGATTTACTGTTGAGATTGAGGGAGTGTGAGTAAACTCGGTGATGCTTGGAAGGGAGCGAGTTGCTGAGTCGGACTCTGTGGCTTGGCACTTGAGCCTTGGTCTGGGGAGTTCGAGATGTTGAGGTCTTTATTTAGAGTCTATGGGCTTAAAAAACCCATGCTCTGTATTTTTTGAGTTGTTATCCTGCTCAGGGTGGGGCTCATGGACCCTGAAGTGTATCCAAGGCCCACAGGCTTTTTTCTGATTGCATTTCAGTATCATGTAGCTAGCATTTAAAAATTAAATTAACACATGTTTTAAAGCTATGTCAGCTGTTTACATTTTAAAACTGAGCGAAAAAATAGCATGCTGCTTCGGGATCATGGTCTAAATAAGCAGTAATGGCTTCATTTTATACATCTTAACTCAATATTTATGCCATTCAATTTCAAAATGCTAAACTCAAACGGAGAATAATATACTTTATTTCAAACAAGTTTAAAGGTTTGCCGCTTGAAAATTTTCAAGTTATTATTAAGAAAAAAAATTAAATCAAGTTAAAAAAATACTATTTAAGTTATTATTAAGAAAAAAAATTAAATCATGTTAAAAAAATACTATTTATTTAGACTCATGAGACTATAAATTAGAACAATCTATTTAGTTTTTTTTTTTTCATGCTCATTTCTGGTCAATATAAAGAGAGTTGATTGCTATAATATTAAATAAGTGGGACTGTAGCCTAAGGGGTGGAGTTAGGATTATTTATTAGAGGGGTCAAAATTAATACAATAAGATATAATATTTGTTTTAATTTATTATATGCATAATTTAGTTTTATTTAAATAACTTACTACAAACATATAATGATTTTATTATAAGGTAAAAGGTTTGGAGCAATACCAAATTGAATTAAAGCAATCAAGTTAATTTCATCTTTATAATGTATTCATCACTTTAATGTTGTTGGTCTTTATATTTATCAAATATAAACATACAAAGTATATAAGAAATATTAGCTAAAATGAAGCGTTATTTATGTTTGATAAACTTTGAAATAAAGCAAAAAATAATAAAAAATAATTCTTACATATTTATTTTAATTGTGTTTGTCGTTCTTTCACAGAATAGAAATTATCGATTATCATATCAATTGTGAATCTTTCAGCATTTTTTTTTTCTATATAGACAATCAAATAATTTACAAGAAAATTATCCTCCATCTGATTGCGAAGTTTTGTTTTAGCATTTTTATCGCTAAAAAGCTTATTCAGTAGTTGTTGTCGAAACAGAAAGAGTCAAAATAAATAGAATCAACCTGTCAACTAGTGGATAAATTATTGATTTTTTTGTTTCAACCAATCCTCGATATAAATCAGTTATTGATGACATGTTCTTTAACTTTAGATGATTGGGTATATGATTGGATGACATGTTCTAAAATCAAAATATATATCGTGAGAAAAAATTAATAATTTTGGTGGCTTTACTTAAAACAAAACATAAAAAAAAATCTAAACATAGTCAAAACAAACCAATAAAATATATCTAATTAATTAAAAAATCACCATAACAAGAATTCAAAAAACAATTGATAGAACTAACAGATTTGAGAAAACAATAAGCAAAAATGGTAGAATTATACAAAACAATCTCATCAAATTATTAACAAACATCTCAAAACAAAATAAAAATAGATTTTAAATTTAATTTACCTTGTTTTATTTGATAAAAGATAAATTAATTGGTGGCTCTACTTCAATCTTTTTATAGAAAAATTTTACTTATGATTTGTGTTTTTATTGATTGCTATATTTATATTAGGGCTACATAAGATAATGACCTTATATTTTTTTCTTTCCACGTCCATCAAGAGTAAATGAAAAATCAAAAGTAAAGTTATATTTAATTACTATTGATAAAGCTATCTTTTTTAAAATAAAAAAAATATGACACTTCCAACTCACCTTTAATTACCTAATGAAAAAATTTAAACTGTACTAGGGGGTCTGGACCCCTACTTGCCCCTTTGCCTCCGTCCCTGTGTAGCATCATTAATGACACCTATATACTTTCACATTGCTCTCTGCAATGTTGAGAGAGTTGTTGTGGTTTGCTATGCTTGGAAAATAGTATCATATTTGATTCATACAAGATTTTGCATTCTTTGTGATGTCATTGCCTAACATATTATGCTCTTTTTTATTGGTTTGACCACATATTGAAAATTCTCTATTCCTTTTTGGTTTACAGGCAATCCCTTTTTTTTAAATCATTTATTTACTGTGATCATGTTTGTTTTTATTGTGGATTGATACAATATTTCAATTTCTCCTTAATTCTCACAAGCTGTTACCTAAAACTACAAATAAAACTATATATATATA